TGATTGAGGAACCACCGGCAGGCTTGAGAATGTCAAGGCCGGCAGACTTGGCATTGGATCGGCCAGCGGGCTTGGGAATGCCACGGCCGGCAGGCTTGACTTTGGAGTGGCCGGCGGGCTTGACTGTGGAACGGCCGGCGGAGAGGTTCTGGATCGGGATAGGAGGCTCTACAGACACCGGATGACCGCCTCCTTCCAGTCAAGGTTGGTGGTGTCTGGGAGCTCCGTTGACTGATGGTAAGTGACCCCGAGCCGGAACAGAGTCACAAGGGTCTCCCCATCGAGGGAGCTGGCGAGGGCGATCAGCAGGAATGCCCTCGCATAGGTGAGCGGGTCGTGGCTGAACATCGCTCTTTTCTCCATGTCGGCAGGGAGAAACGAATAGGAAAACAAAACACTTTTCAAAAAACGAAAAACAAACACGGGGAGAAGGGGCGCTGCTTACTGTCACGGTCCGGTATTCTGTCATGTTTCACTACTGTGCGGGAACGCAGAGCGAAGGAACGAGGAGATTTTAATTATAACCAGGGAATCAGGAAAACACACGTAGCAGATGAGGTAGATATAAACAGACATTCGCAATACCGGACGCCGAACTGATAACATGGAACACTATATATACACAAATGACATGACGATGGAATGACGAGACACACCTGGGATCAATAAAACAATAAACATAATTAGAACAGGAACAGGAAGAACCAAATAAGGGCATGGAAACACATGGGGAGCAAAACACACACAAAACACGGAACAGAGTCTGGCAAAAAATTATTGACAACCAGAAATACACAATGGGTTTTAATGCTGTTTTTAAACCCCTAAAGTGGAGCTGTATGCAAGTGTAAAAGTCTCAAGGTAACTTTAAAAATAATAACAGGGATGTGGTGTGAATATTATAAAAGCAAGCAATCTCCATAAACATCTGTGACCCAAATACATTTCTACTGTATTTCCTCCATGAAATGTTTTTCCGTCAAATGGTGAGAAATGGCTGTCAGATATCGACTATAAAAACCAGAACAAACACATCTGAAGAAATCCTGAAATATTGTTCTGCCAGGCCAATAAAGTAGTAAAGCCCATGAATATATGATGAGCTGAATTATTCTGAATTAATTTCAGTTCAAGGTGTTCTGAACTGACAGCTCATCTGTATTTGAAAAAAGTTGAGATTCTTGTATCTGAGGGGAGAGTTTTATGCTGCGTATATTTAATATGCATGTCGAGATGTGTAATACCATGTTTGGCATGGACACATTTAGGACACATGACAGGATGTGTCCTGAACGACGGGATGTCCTAATTATTTAATATCACACATACTCATTAAGTCTCTGAGATGAGTCGCGCTGGTGAGCTTTCCTATATGTGAAATCATAAATTCAGTCAGAGTCTTTTGTGTGCCTGTGCCATAAACCACTGAGATTATTTCCAGAAAGAGAAGGAGAGAGGAGGAGGTAGAGTCATGTGATTCAAATCTGCAATTGGATTTTTTATTTTTGTATCTTTTCAGGGATCTAAAGTGGTTAAAGTGGCTGCAAATTGGGGTTGTCACAATACCAAGATTTCAATCGTTGATAGCAATTTCACATTACTCAGTATCAGTTTCAATACCACAATGATATTCTAAGCACTTAAAGTTGGGCCATAAACTGCTTTCATTTGGTCAGGATATTTCCTAAACAGTGGCATTGTTCATGAGCTTTACTTATTTTGCAAATTGTAGAATTAGTAGATCCAATTACGTGAATTAGTTTTGATTGTTTTAATGTATCATTTTTCAATGTGTGACTTTTTTTTCAATTTGTGTTACACATTTTTTACAACAAATACACTACTGCTCAAATGTTTGGGGTCAGTAAGAGTTTTATTGAAAAAATCTATTCATCAAGGATGAGAGTAAGTGACAGTAAAGACAATCAGCATTTTAGAATGTTTTCTAAAATCATTCTAAAATGCTAAAAATCAAGCTTTGCCATAATAGGAATACATTATATTTTAAAATGTGTTCAAATCGATAACAATTATTTGAAATTTTATTGTCACAACCTTTGTCAACATAATACATTTATTTTTAAAATCCTTAAAAATTCTTAACTGTCCCAAATTTTTGAGTGCTTGTGTATATGATGGTAAATATTGTTGTGCATGATTGTTGTTCTAATTGTGCACGCAGATGAAAATTACTAGATATCGTTTTTCCTTGATTTTTATGAGAAACGTGAAAAACATTCACTGATAATTTGAACTACTTTGTACAGTGCTTTGGTTCTTTAAAGATGAAACATTTTTAATCCACTTGGCAGTAACTGTTTGATTGAAACAATGGTTTCACTAATTACTCCAAAACAAAATCAAATATATTTTTACCTATATCCCTCATCCTTAAAAATCAACTAATTAAAAAAGTAACTAAAACAATGACATGAAGCCTTCAAGTATTTATTGATGAAGTAAACAAATAATTATTCAGTTCAACATGAAATACATGCTGAGCAGTGAGTGATTTTCTCTTTTTGGTCAATATTGTTGTTTGTTTGATTATTATATTCACACCATAACCGACAGCAGTAGGTCTATCAGGCTGCATTTATACAGTGTACCAATCTGATATTTTGACTCAAATCTGATGTTTCCATACCGCATGTTTACATTCACTGAAGACAAACCGAGTGGGTTTACACCAATACCTTGCCAAGACGAGAAATTAACAAAGAAATGCATCTGACAGCTTACAAGTGCAGGTGCATTACCGTGAGACGCAGCCGCTCTTTACAGTGCACACATACAAATACACATGTGAGTGCTCACCTGCAGCTGCCTGTCAGTCACGCATTAAATTGAGTTGGCACTTGTATTACTGATATTTAAAAAAAAATTATTTGTACTTACTTGGTACCAAAATATGAGTACTTTTGGCATCCTTACTGCTCAGTGGTGTAGTCGGGGCCATACACATTTATACACCGGCTGTTTGTGTATTATGACTTCAAAGGATCAATATTTGCATATACCCTAGGTGTACCCACTTGTTTTGTTGCTTGGCAAGTCCATAATCTACTGTAATGTTAGCTTCCCCTGTGTCCCCCCTGTGTCAACTGTGTCCCATGAAAATCATGATTCTATGTTCTAATTTGTGCAATATCACGTCTATCATTCTACCTTTTCCCGCCAATCAACAACTGAGTGCATGTGTGAACTGTACTGAGAAAAAATTCCACTCGGTGCCACTCAGTGTTTTAAGAGGCACTGAGCGCAGTTCTATCAGTGCAGTGGACACTTATTTCCTTAAAATAAGTAGGCTATAGTCCTATAGATAGTATAGTAGGGCTGTCATGATTCCTCGATTAAATTCGAGTACTCGATTATAAAAAATCCTCAAATGTATTTTGCTTGTTTCGATTAACTGGCAAAATACCGGAAATGGTGCATTCAACGGACGAGAATCCATGAAAAGCATCATCAGAAGGTTTTCTAAGGCTGCGTGAAATATTAAAACCATTTAAAAAATCATAATAAAGCATAGTGATATTGTGAATTCACAAAGGCTGCGATTCAATTAAATATGATTCTATGTTCTAATTTGTGCAATATCACGTCTATCATTCTACCTTTTCCCGCCAATCAACAACTGAGTGCATGTGTGAACTGTACTGAGAAAAAATTCCACTCGGTGCCACTCAGTGTTTTAAGAGGCACTGAGCGCAGTTCTATCAGTGTAGTGGACACTTATTTCCTTAAAATAAGTAGGCTATAGTCCTATAGATAGTATAGTAGGGCTGTCATGATTCCTTGATTAAATTCGAGTACTCGATTATAAAAAATCCTCAAATGTATTTTGCTTGTTTCGATTAACTGGCAAAATACCGGAAATGGTGCATTCAACGGACGAGAATCCATGAAAAGCATCATCAGAAGGTTTTCTAAGGCTGCGTGAAATATTAAAACCATTTAAAAAATCATAATAAAGCATAGTGATATTGTGAATTCACAAAGGCTGCGATTCAATTAAATAAATATATATGCGTTGCCGGTTTAATATGCGCTTTATTTATATGCGTGTAGGTTACGTGCATCTCAGAGCAGCTTCGTTCACAGTAAATGCTGCTCCACACAAACAGTTATCATTTACATGTGTGGCACCATCTCAAAGTCCATATTTGCATATGCTGTGAGTCTGAATTGCTTATAACGTTCATCTGGGAATTTATAAGGTAAATCATTTATAAACCTACACCAACACAGGAAAATAGATCACTATCTTTCTAAATACGCTAACGGTTTTTGCTAACGGAGTTTGCATGTTTTGATGTCCACATGTTCTTGTTCAAGAAATGACAGTGGCTGTAGCATTTCTATCAAGTATTATAGAATTAAAGGTTGTTCACTCAATATAAAAAAAAGCATTAGATCGCGCAGTAAAATGTAAAAACAATTTTCAGGCTGTTGGCGCCCTCTTCAGGCATTTGCTATAATACATAATGTCTATAAGTTATGATTATATTGTTTTATTGTTCAATAAAACCATATGATTTCTTGCTGTTGATATTTTAACTAATTTTAAACAATTATCATTTCCTCATTACTAGTATAAGTATTTTAAGTCATTTAAAATCTGTTGTTTGCTTAGGTCTATTTTTATCACAAAAAAATTATCAGATTTTTCGATTAATCGGCAGAATAATCGACCGATTACCAAAATAATCGTTAGTGACAGCCCTATAGTATAGTCCTTAAAATAAAGTGTTACCTGGTTTTCTTATTACTACCTGTGTATTTTGGTGATTATCAGAGTATTATAACGGTACAAAAGCACAATATATTTGTTTTGCTTTGGTAGGTTGGTATATTAACATGACACTCTATAAGTTAATAAAATATACTGTAAATTTAGTTCAATCTGTAAAACCTAAAATGTTCCTACTGTGTTTTTTTCCACTGCCAGTTTTTTATTGCAATTTTTTTGTTTATAGTGTGGGAAATGACGTTTTTACCAGCTGCTGGCCTCGCGGTCCCCATCCTGCATACTGCAGATGAGCGTTTCGCACTTCTGGAGGGTTCAGAATCCACGTTTCCCTGTAAAAGACAAGCAAAGCCATTACTAATCAACTAGTTGTATACTGCATGACAAGTAGACTAGTTGACCATACTGACCCAGACAGACAGACTGATTGCCAGACTGGCAATCAGTCAAACATTCATGTCTTCAGAGGGCTAACAGTGCACACTTCCTCTACCTGGTGCAGTGGAGCGTGTGCCAACAGATATTGATTCCATCACGGTGTACTACACAGCCCAACACAACTGCACGGCGAATAAAGCACCATGAGGGAATTCCTGCGGCAGGAAATCTAACAGTGATAGTATATCCCAGTGCGCTGTTAAATCCGGCCGGGGCAGCGGCCCAGCGCTGTGTCAGCATCTGTTCCGTCTGACAGAGCTCATAAATATAGATGCTTTATTCTGCTGTTGTGTGCAATGGCTCTGTGCACTGCAGGCCCAAAAATTACAGGTGACACGAGCTGTACGTCTCTGTGCTAATCATGGGACAGACAGGCTGGGAAATCGTTGGTAGGACCACAGGATAGCAGTATGGAATGGATTCAGTTCTATGAATGGCTTCGACATGTGACGTGAGCAGCGAAATGCTGCATCGATGTTTTCCTTGGTTTATAATGACAAATGGACTTTGTAAACTAATGCGACTGGTATACGAGCTCAGCGACTTACGGAGTTTCCAGACTGCAAATGATGTAGTCCGCAGTGAAGGAGTGCTCGTAAACCTGAGAGTTTGAACAACACAGAGACAAACAGAGACAGAGAGAGAAATTAAATTGTGGAAGAACAGCAGTTACCGCCACTACAAGCACCAAAAAGCTTTATTAGCAATAACGTTTGCGAGGCGATGCATTACAGTGACATAGCAGAGTTTAAGGGTGATTTTAGCCACAATGTGAAGAGGACAGATATTTTACCACGGTATAGTCACAGTAACACACCACCTCAAATGGCTTTTTGGATTTTAAAACAAAAGCAAAATGTAAAATACACCAATGTTTAATAAATAATACATTTAGTATAATTACAGTAAAAAGCAAAAATACAGTAAAAAATAAATACACTAAAATTTCACATGCTCTAAATAAATAAAT